AACACGTATTCACAAAATAACTGGATTATAATACCTAAAGAGTACATTATTAAACACGTATACACAAATACTGGTTATATCCTAAAGAAACATTATTAAAACACGTATTCACAAAATTACTGAGGTATATCCTAAAGAAACATTATTAAAACACGTATTCACAAAATACTGGGATATATCCTAAAGAGACATTATTAAAACACGTATTCACAAAATACTGGGGTATATCCTAAAGAGACATTATTAAACACGTATTCACAAAATACTGGGATATATCCTAAAAAGACAATATTAAAACATGCATTCACAAAATACTGGGGTATATCCTAAAGACACGTTATTAAAACATGCATTCACAAAATACTGGGATATATCCTAAAGAGACATTATTAAAACACGTATTCACAAAATACTGGGGTATATCCTAAGAGACAATATTAAAACATGCATTCACAAAATACTGGGATATATCCTAAAGAGACATTATTAAAACATGAACTACTCCTACAACATGAACTGCTCCTACAAGATAAACTACTCCTACAATATGAACTGCTCCTACAAGATAAACTACTCCTACAACATGAACTGCTCCTACAAGATAAACTACTCCTACAACATGAACTACTCCTACAAGATAAACTACTCCTACAACATGAACTGCTCCTACAACATAAACTTTTACAACATGAACTACTCCTACAAGATAAACTACTCCTACAACATGAACTACTCCTACAAGATAAACTACTCCTACAACATGAACTGCTCCTACAACATAAACTTTTACAACATGAACTACTCCTACAACATGAACTACTCCTACAACATGAACTGCTCCTACAACATGAACTGCTCCTACAACATGATTTTTTTGTGCTGAATTTCGCATAAAGCTACTTTAGGACTATCTGCGCTAGCTGTTGTGACGGATTTATTATTATATATTTATTTTAATATTTATGTTTGTTTAAATTCAATGTATATTTAGAAATGTACATAACTTATACTGTTAAATATGTATTGCAAAACTCCCGCCTCTTCTCTAAAGTTGTAGAATATTCTCAAGTGTAAGAATCAACAACATATATGTACGTAAACGCTAGTGTAGCTTTGTATTGTTACGTAATCTGAATTTTCGAGAAACTCACCATAAGCCTATAAATATAACCAACGCATGCGCCAAAAAACAATATACATTACTATAAACCTCGGAAGCTATAACTGTGATTAACGCTTATTAATCGGGAACTTCAAATATATTGACCAGGAACGCTTATAAATTTCGAACATTACAAATCATCCAATCTCAGTGTATTCACATCGGACATTAGTACTTTTACGAAAACATTACCTAACGTCACAGGTAAAAGAAACTCGACCTGCAATCGGCGTGTGATCAGCGAGAAATACAGGGCTAGCTAGCTCCCTATTAAGTGAATTGTACCTACGTCAACTGGAAATTAAGTTCCAGACCAGAAAGAAGACTTTATATTGCTTGTAAGTTTGTAAGACATAAATCATTGTTTGTAATAACCGTTATTGTAAATTGTATTAGTGTTTGTGTATTACAATATATTTGTATTAAAAAAGAAAACTGTGTGTAGCAATCTTGTTGGCAAATATCATAAATTATTTTACTACTAAATTTAAATTATCATTTAGCTCGGTTTCAGGCCATTCGAAATTGTAATACGTAACACTGTCCCTAATTAACACGTGATAGACTAGATTGAAGGCAGTTAGTCAACACGATCCACCGCTAACTCTTTTACCAACCAAGTGGAATTATAACGACTCCACGGACGAATATTTTCAATGACGGGATTCGAACCCGCAAATTGCAAGTCGAGCGCCCTAAACACCTGGTCATGCCAAGTAACGGTGCAAGACAGCGTATGTGATGAAATTATAGCAATTTTTGTTAGATAAAATTAAACAAGTTTTATGTTTTTATACGTCTGTGGTGTTTGTATAAGCTTTAAATACAGTTGTCATCTTTCATGGTGCTCGTATAAGCTTTAAATACGGTGGTTATCTTTCACGGTGTTCGTATAAGCTTTAAATACGGTGGTTATCTTTCATGGTGTTCGTATAAGCCTTAAATACAGTGGTTATCTTTTATTGTGTTTGTATAAGCTTCAAATATAATCCACCTCTTATCTATGGTTATCGTTCATGGTGTTCGTACAACCCTTAAATACAGCTCAGCCCTTCTACGGTTATCTTTCGTGGTGTTCGTATAAGCTTTAAATACAGCCCAGCTCTTGTCTATGATTATCTTTCATGGTGTTCGTATAAGCTTTAAATACAGCCCAGCTCTCGTCTATGGTTATCTTTTATGGTGCTCGTATAAGCCTTAAATACAGCTCAGCTCTCGTCTATGGTTATCTTTCATGGTGTTCGTATAAGCTTTAAATACAGTTGATATATTTCATGGTGTTCGTATAAGCTTTAAATACAGCCCAGCTTTCGTCTATGGTTATCTTTCATGGTGTTCGTATAAGCTTTAAATACAGCCCAGCTCTCGTCAATGGTTATCTTTCATGGTGTTCGTATAAGCTTTAAATACAGCCTATTTCTCTTCTTTTTCTGACTTTTAACACATTTAAATAGTTTTGCTATAATAATACATCACGTTCTATTGTTATGCTATTGTTTTAACGTGGGAGACAACTTCATTCCAAAACGACACCGTGGATTTCCATGTTCGTTGATTATACATAAATGAAACCAGTAGTTCGTTCGTTCCTGGCAGTAAAATATTACCAGGGGTAGATTAATGAGTAATCTAACCCAACTATAGCTTACCCCCCCCAAAAAAAAAGATTACTATTGATAATTCACAGTTTTCTTCCCTAATAGACCAGTTTCAACTTACTATCTATGAATATGCAGTTCAATTATAAAATCGTTCTTGTATATTGTTATATGAATAAACGTTTTGTGCTGTTATTGTACTGGTTTTGTTTCTCTAATTTGGAATGTTCGATATGAAAATACTATTGGTATTAGTTTATCGAACGCTGATTTCCATATAAATATACTAGTCAAAACTGCAGATTTAAATGTATTCATTGGTCACAACATGTACTTGTATACTTCTTGTTGAATAGATTGTTAAAGGTGTTGAGTGTTACAATGGTTTGTATCGCTGAGTTTGGTCTTAAAACTTACCCGCATACTTATTGTTGAAGGTGTTGAGTGTTAACAATGGTTCGTATCACTGAGTTTGGTCTTAACACTTACCCGCATACTTATTGTTGAAGGTGTTGAGTGTTACAATGGTTTGTATCGCTGAGTTTGGTCTTAAAACTTACCCGCATACTTATTGTTGAAGGTGTTGAGTGTAACAATGGTTCGTATCACTGAGTTTGGTCTTAACACTTACCCGCATACTTATTATTGAATAGATTGTTGAAGGTGTTGGGGGTTAACATTGATTTTAACACTTACCGACATAATTCCTTTAGAATAGATTGTTGAAGGTGTTGAGTGTTAACAATGGTTCGGATCACTGAGTTTGGTCTTAACACTTACCCGCATACTTCCTTTTGAATAGATTGTTGAAGGTGTTCAGTGTTAACAATGGCTCGTATCACTGAGCTTGGTCTCAACATTTACCGACATACTTCCTTTTGAATAGATTGTTGAAGGTGTTCAGTGTTAACAATGGTTCGTATCACTGAGCTTGGTCTCAACACTTACCCGCATACTTATTGTTGAATAGATTGTTAAAGGTGTTGGGGGTTAACATTGATTTTAACACTTACCGACATACTTCCTTTAGAATAGATTGTTGAAGGTGTTGAGTGTTAACAATGGCTCGTATCACTGAGTTTGGTCTCAACACTTACCCGCATACTTCTTGTTGGATAGCTTGTTGAAGGTGTTGAGTGTTAACAATGGCTCGTATCTTTCCTGCACTGTTGGAAGCCCAGTATGGTGTCACTATTTCTACCGCTGACTCACAAACGTCCACTCTGTCCGAAACATAAATATGATAACGATTATTTTATTGTTAAACTTACGAACGTCCACTCTGCTTGATAACAGGTTAAACATGAAGTTTTATGGCTTATTGAGACACGATAGGCTTAACTGTTAGGTTGAATTTTGATCTGAATACATGAACACTTTAAACATTCGCTAAATGTTAGATCATATTTGTATATAATTATTTACCAGTAGAACTATCATTTAATAGTTTAGACTAAATATTATATTGGTTATTCAGCAAGTGGATACTCTTGTGGTTGATTAGAGGTTCTCGATCTGAATGACAAGTATCATTTATTGTGTATTATTCAGTTGATAAATATTCATTCACAAAAGTTGTGGGTTTTTCTATTCGATCATTCAAAACACGTGATTTACTCAACACAACCAATACAAAGGCTTCTCTTCTTTTTAAACTAGGATAAAGGTACGAGGTACCAGTTCTACTCAACACAAGAAAACTGGTAAAATAGAATTGGTCTTATCATCAAACACAGGGACTGGTAAAATAGAACTGATCGTATTATCAAACACGGACAGTGGTAATATATAACTGGTCTTATCATCAAACACATGAACTGGTAAAATAGAACTGGTCGTATCATCAAACACAGGGACTGGTAAAATAGAACTGGTCTTATCATCAAACACATGAACTGGTAAAATAGAACTGGTCGTATCATCAAACACGGGGACTGGTAAAATAGAACTGGTCGTATCATCAAACACGGGGACTGGTAAAATAGAACTGGTCGTATCATCAAACACGGGGACTGGTAAAATAGAACTGGTCGTATCATCAAACACGGGGACTGGTAAAATAGAACTGGTCGTATCATCAAACACGAGGACTGGTAAAATAGAACTTGTCGTATTATCAAACACGGGGACTGGTAAAATAGAACTGGTCGTATCATCAAACACGAGGACTGGTAAAATAGAACTTGTCGTATTATCAAACACGGGAGACTGGTAAAATAGAACTTGTCGTATCATCAAACACATGAACTGGTAAAATAGAACTTGTCGTATCATCAAACACATGAACTGGTAAAATAGAACTGGTCGTATCATCAAACACGGAAACTGGTAATATATAACTGGTCGTATCATCAAACACGGAAACTGGTAATATATAACTGGTCTTATCATCAAACACGGGTACTTTAAACATACCAGCTAACCCTATATGTTGTAAGTTTGTCAGAACTGGTCCAAATGGGAGAGAAGCTTACCATTTATATCGAATATCTCAACAATGGGCACTTCGCGGTGATCGAACCTCAGATTCTAGCGACATAAGCTCTAGTGCTAACCTTAGGCTAAGGCGGTATATAGGGAGAAATAGTTTTTTTCATTGCTCACCTGTGATTCTAGGTTCTCATTTTTTGACCTAACACTAAAACACGAACTTTGTAACACACATAACTCTCTACTATAGAAACACATACTTATCTGAAGATGTGCTGTAAGTGTTTCGATTGGCGGCTCTCTCTGATCTTGTATGAAGTGTATGACCATCATACGTTTCAAACTGGTTTGGAAATGTTACTGTATAGTTGTCTCCTGCAGAAAAGTTGTAATCCCCAAACATACGTCGAATCAAAGCCTTATTATCGTCAATGAATTCTTCAATCCTCTCACTATTGGATGAAATTCAAGATAAACAAGTACCATAGTTTATTTACTGACTTTCAGTTTAACTTGACAGTTATTTAAAATCACTACCAAACAAAGGAGAATGAACAATTACAAAATAAGCAATGTTTGAAAACTTTGTTTAAAAAACATAATTCAAGCAGAATACATAAAACATGAACCAAACAGAATACAGAAAACATGAACCAAACAGAATACACAAAACATGAACCAAACATAATACAGAAAACATGATTCAAGCAGAATACACAAAACATGAACCAAACAGAATACAGAAAACATGAACCAAACAAAACACATAAAACATAAACCAAACAAATTACACAAAACATGAACCAAGCAGAATATACAAAACGTGATTCAAGCAGAATACGTAAAACATGAACCTAACAGAATACACAAAACATTAAAAATGGTTTTCTGATCATTTTAACTGAATCTTTAAAATCAATTTTCAGTCATTTTAGTGAAATGTGTGCGATTCGAGATGTTTTGTATTCACAAAGTATGTGGTTGTTGCCTGTAGCTTTGTGTCATCTGAGATAATCTCTTTACTCCTAGACGCCATCAGGCGGCAAAGAAAGGAGTCAATATCTCAAAATAAAAATTTCTTTCTTTGTTGTTAGGAGCATAGCTACAATGGGCTATCCCCACCACGGGTATCAAAACCCGGTTTTAGCAATTATAAGCCTTCAGACTGGGGGCGCAAACAGTAATAAAAGGGACCTAAAAGCTTCCTACTGCGATCATCAAAATAAGACACACCAGATTTGAGTGTGAAAAATGAATTGAATAAGGAAATAACGAAAATAACTGTTTGTACTTATTCCAGATTCCATACAGAATGAGTTAACAGAGCAAGACAAGGTCATTGTAAAACAAATAAAACCATCCAATTTGTTCATAACTTGAAATATTTATTAATTAACTTCGAAATCAAGATTTATGAAAGTTCATATTGTTACACACAGTAGTACCTTCAATCACCAATAACACTGGGTTCGTAGCATTGGGTAAATAAAGTTTTATAAGAGAAATAATGACAGGTTTAGTTTTAATCAACATTTCCTTGTCAGGCACCATTACAATATTACCCTAACAGAGAACAACACGTTTTCCGTGTTAGACACCATTACAATATTACCCTAACAGAGAACAACAACTTTCCACGTTAGGCACCCTTTACAATATTACCCTCACAGAGAACAACAACTTTCCCACATCAGGCACCATTACAATATTACCCTAACAGAGAACAACAACTTTCCACGTTAGGCACCCTTTACAATATTACCCTCACAGAGAACAACAACTTTCCCACATCAGGCACCATTACAATATTACCCTAACAGAGAACAACAACTTTCCACGTTAGGCA